GAGCAGTCACTCTGGACAATGTTTGGCAGTTTCTTACAAAATTCAACATTACACTTACCACACAACCCAGAGCTTCTGGGCATTCTATTACAGAGAAATAAAGACGCATTCGAAATTCAAAAATCTCTATATGACTGTTCATAGCAGCTTTATCAATAACAGCCCAAATTAGAAGCATTGAAATTGTCTGGTTGAGGACAAAAGGTGATGGATAAACTGTGGTATATCCATACCACAGAATATTAGCAATAAAATAGGAGCAAATTATTAATAGAAACAAGTATTTCAAAAGCATTGTCCTTAGTGAAAAAAATCCAATCTCAAATGGTTACATATTGTATGACTTTGTTTATATAACATTCTCAAAACATCAAAATGATAGAAATGATAAAAAGATTAGTGGTTTCCAGGGGTCAGTGATGGTGGAGGTGCCTATTAGAGGGTGTTATGAAAGAGATCTTTGTGGTGACGGAATAATTCTGTATCTTAATTGCTGTACTGGTTACATGAGTCTACACATGATAAAATGACATAGAACTAAACACACACATTATACTAACTGATAATTTCCATTCTGATATTATACTATAATTATTGATACATAAGATATAACCACGTGGAAAAATGGGTGAAGAGCACATGAGACCTCTCTGTACTATCTTTGCAACGGCCTGAGATCTCTGTAATTTTTTCAAAACTAAAAAGTTAAAAAAAAAAACTCTACTCCAAGATCCATTAAAAAAGGAAAAGCATAAAAATTTGATTTGTAAAAGCTTAGTAACATTTAACTATTTACCCATACTCGTCGCATATCTGTCTTCAAAATTTCACTTGTTCTCTAAAACTTAAATGTAGTTAATAAAACACAGACCTTTTTTACGTGTGTGCAAGGCCAGTTGTGAAAGGTGGGCCATAAAAGAACCAAACAAGTCTGCTGCATAAGAGGGAAGTTTCAAAATGCATTTGTTCTGCTCCTTTCAGAAATGCGCTGTAGCCATCACTGATATGAAGAAGCCACAGCTATGATTAACCTGTTAGGGTAATAATTAAGTGTCACGGCATCTGCGTCTATCAGAGAGCAGAGAAATAAAGGCAACAAAGCAGCACTATGACATAGGCTTCCCACAAGAGGGCAGTAGCTTATCAAGTTTTAAAAACTAAATTCTATCAGGGAAAACCTACAGCGAGCAAAGGACAAACCACTAAGATTTTAAATGCATAAAAGGTTAGTCACTCTTACTAACACAAGTTGAAATATTTTCTTTTATCCTTTACGAATATGAAGGTCGCCCCACCACCGCTCCACACCTGCAGGCAAATAGCTAAAAAAAATGATTATACAATCTATTGATAGATTCTACAACTTTGAATAGAGTTTTGTTTCAAATACCTCCAATGTGTTCTAGCTATTGTATCTTAAAATGATTCGTTTAGAGAAGGGTTTAACAAACTACAGCCCATGGGTCAAAACTAGCCAGCTGGCTGGCTGGCTGTTTTGTTTTACCACTCATGACCTTAGAATGGTTTTTACTTTTTTAAAATGTTTATATTTTAAATGATTATGTAAGTACCTACATAGTATCCTTGATCTTACCCTTTTGGACCTCACAGCCCAAAACACTATCTTGCCTCTCAATGTGAAAAAATCCCTCAAAATAGTCTGCCATATAATTTCTGTACCAAACATTAAGATTATAATAAAAGGTGAAGTATTATTCCTAATATCAACTTCATATAAACTGAAATCATACGAGTAAATGTCTGAAATAAAAGCTGTATCTTGAATATTAGTAAACTCTATGGGTTCTCTAATACAAAAGAAAAAGAGCTACAATTCCTGTATTGTGTGCCACTGGATATTTATACCCGAGATTTTCTATTTCTAACTAATGAGAAGTTTGAAATCCGTCTCATTCTCTCCATGATGTATCTTGACTGAATCCACTTGTCCTTAAAACCATGACCATGACCCTATCTTACCATCTTTTATCTGTACTGGGGTTTCTAAATCTCAGTCTATGATGATATTATGGACTTGATAATTCGTGTGGAAGGGCTATCCTGTGCACCGTAGGAGGTTTAAGTATATCCCTGGCCTCTATAAGCAGCACCTCCACAGCTCTGATGTCCCCAAATGTTTGCAGACCTCGACAAGTGTCCCCTGGGGAGAAAATCACCCCCACTGAGAAGCAATGATCTGGACTAGTAGTCTCCAAAATTAGCTTGCATATGCTCAGAGCATGTGTAGGAAAATATTAAAATTTCTACTTACGTATTTTTAGTATTCACTTACATATTTCAGTGGGTACACAGGCAAAAAAAGTCTCTTGCCAACTGTGTGTGTGGGGGGGGGAGTGGAATTGAAGGGCTATGGCAGCCATGGTAATCGCCCTCCAATTGCTCTCTTTACTTCTCCAATCATTTTACCCAGCAGTCAGATCATTTTCTTCAATGTAAATGAAGTGATGACATGCCAGAGTTTGAAAACCTTCAGCAACCTCTCAGCACACTCAGAAAAAGATCTCATCTCTTCCCCTGCATGGCCTGTAAGTTCCACTCGCCTAGCCCTTACTTCTCTCCAGCTCTGTCCCATCTTAGGGCCTTCAAGCATGCTCTTCCTTCTGTCTAGAATGGTCTTCCCCCACTCTTCACCTGGCTGTCTTCCTTCTTATCCTTTAGTTCTCAGACTAAACATCACTGTCTTAGAGAAATTATTCCTTGACCCACTCAATCTAAAGTTGGACACCTCGACCTCACCTCACTTGCCCCCGTAAGTATTCTTCACACCTTGCTGCTCTGTGCAGCGTGTGCCACAATTTCTAATTATTTATTTGCATTTACTTCTTAAATATCCATCTCCCTGCTAGACTGTATGCTCCAAGAAAGCAGGGACTGTGCTCAGCAAATATTTGTTGAGTAAGTGAATGGAATGAATGACGCTAAGAAAACTTAGACTCTTTCTTTAACATTTTTTGTTGGAAAAACTTTCTGGAAACATGCTATTTAATGTCTCAAAGTACCCATTGACTACAAATGAATATGCCATGTATCAATCTGCTTTTATTATTGTTTTTCTTTTTCTTTTTCTTTTGGCCACGCAGCATGCGGGACCTTAGTTTCCCGACCAGAGATCAAAGCTGCACCCCCTGCCAGTGGAAGCGCAGCATCCTAACCATTGGACCACCAGGGAATTCCCTGGAAAACTTTCAATACAGAAATAGAATATACTGGAAAAGGTACTAGACTGTGAATTGTCCCTATTTCTCCACTAGGGATCCCTGGCCAATTATTCAGTCCTTCCTCAAGGACTAGATTTCAGGGCCCGAGGCAAAACTGTAAAATCCCATCAATTATTTAGCCTCTCATGGGAATGGCAGAATGATTCCTGAAAAGAGGATGGATAGGTAGCCTGTCTCAATTTTACGGTTAAACGAATTGAAATACAATTTCTACGTGACATGCCCACTATGCTAGAACCAATTCTCTGGCTCTGAGCCCGTACTTATTTTACCAGATTACACTGCCTACATACACATACACATGCTTCTCTCTTCTTTTTAACCTGTTCTAATCTGTGAATAGAGAACCTGCTAGTCTTCATTAGAGTGTGATCTCTTCTTTGCATTAAAACTTCCATGCTTCAAGGGGGCAGAGGTGTCTAAAGACAATCTACCATGGGCTGGGCATTCTAAGAAAACTTCTGCTTATTAATCAGAATGAAATTTCTGGCCCCTTTAGCCAAACAAGGTGAAAAAGGTGAAAATGGTGAATGGGAACACTCTAAGGTAATGCGGAGGATGTTATTTAACGCAAAATCTACTAACTTCTAAAATCCAAGTGCTTTTTAATTCAATTCAGTAAAGCAAGACTATTACGAGACATCAGAGGACAATGGATTAACAATGGATTATCATCAGCATGAGGAAAAAGGAAATGAGTAGGGATCTTAAAGATCACCTAGCTCAAGCCTTTAATTTATAAGAAAAGTGTTATTTTAAGAGGCTAAATAACCTATGCATGGTTAACTGAAAAAGGGGTTAGGATAAAAATGTTAGCGCTTCTATATTAAAAAGAAAAGACACAAAAAATGCTGGGAAAAACTGCCTCATTTCCTTCTATCTGTAAAATTACCTCACTCTTTATTCTACATATTAATGGTACATATATTATTTTATGTGAAGCTTAAATAAACTCACATACCTAATTTTTCAGGCAAGACCAGATTAAAAGCAACCAACTAAAAGTAAGGTTTGCAACTTCACAGGCGGGAACTTCACAATCAAGTGACAAAGGACACTGGGGTAGGAGGCTGAAAAAAAACTAAAAAGTATACTTTGTAGAGCACCTCAATAAAGGAAACCATTCAGTTTAGTGGCAAGCAGTTTTGGGCCACAGTGGACTAGAGGTTACTGCTGGGTTATTTCATACTTCAACAAGCAGCATTCAAACAGTTAAGATGAAAGATGTTGGTTTGTAAGATAAAGTGTTCATTATCTAGGGCAGTGCTATCTATTTGACAAAAACGGTCCTATTTGGACTTCTTTGCAGCGATGGAAATGCTCTCTGTCTGTGCTGTTCAGTTGGGTAGGCACAAGCTGTCCGTGACTATTAGCACTTGAAATGTGGCTGGTGTGACTGAGGAGCTGAACTTTTAATTAATTTAAATGAATTAACTTTTCCCCTATTACTTAAGAATCAAAATTAAATAGCCACCTTGTGTCTATGACTACCAGCTGGGATCTAGAGAATTTACTCAGAGGAAATCTCTCATCTTTACACGAAGCTGAATAAATGCTATGTTCTTATGTCACTCTTAATATGGAATGTAAGAACTTTAAGACTCCTTAAATGAGTGGGGAAAAATTGTATAATGGAAATGGAAATAACTTTTATTTACTAAAAGGCATGCCCAATACATTTTCAAAGGATCCATTAAACTCGAGTTCAATTTGCTAAAATTTAATAGCACACGTTACACTTCCAAATTGATAAATACTTACACATTGTCTTCCAGGCAGATTTTGGGTCCTACCACATTAGCTGCTCCACTTGCCATTTTAAAAGCAAAATGCTTCTCAGGGCAAGCTTTTGAGATCCCACATTTATATCTGGGAGGTTTTGTAGCTTTGGAGAGAAAAAAAATTTATTTTAAGAAAACAATGTTAACAGACTCTGTATTTAGTTTGTTTCATATCTCAAACCACAACGGGCATTATGCAAAACACCAAGATACACATATCTTAAACTACATGCTAGTGTTTTTTTTTTTCCTGAGAGTTTCAAAGAAGTTCAAAACAAAACAAAACGGAACCTCCTAGGAAACAAGCTAACAATTGACATAAATGGAACAAGTAACATGATCTTCATGAGGGTAAATATATTTTATCTAATTATTTTTAAGCTTATTTAAAAAAACCAGGATGGGGGAGGTCTGGAATTGTTACTTTGTATTTCCAGTCCATATATGCAAAATAAATGGACAGTAAAAAGCCTGATGCATCACTGAATATCTGCTCACATACTAGTTCTAACTAGGAATTCTTTTTTTTTTTAACATCTTTATTGGAGTATAATTGCTTACAATGGTGTATCAGTTTCTGCTTTATAACAAAGTGAATCAGCTAAACATATACATATATCCCCTAACTAGGAATTCTTTTACACACTTTCTGTACTTATAATACTGAAGCTAAAAAACACGAATGGAACAAAATATCCATTATAAATACATACCCAAAATATTGAGCTGTCCAATCAAATAGCTTCCTTAAAACTTAATAATTTCTAAAATCAGTTTTGCTCACATTGAACTATATCCATTGTTTGAATATATGTTCTCATATGCCTGAGAGAAAAAGAATAAACCATCTGCAAAATATTGAGATGAAATACTTACAACGTGCAACTGCGTCCAATGCTGACCTTGCTAAGGAAAAGAAAGTTATCGTTAGAAAGAATAAAGCTATTGGCAAGTATCACTTTTAAACATGTGTGGAGCTAATAGGCCTATAAAAATGTGTTTGAATTATTGCTTAGTATACAATACATAAAACATGAATATCACTTTAGAGAAAAAGTGAGAAAGTAACTTTAGGCTACATAATTCACTACAAACAATTATGTAGAGGAATTATGGAGGGTATTATTTTGTTATTGATAGAGTACTTTGTTTTTACCTTTACATTTTATGTTTAGTTTTAGTTATTATAAATTTAAATCCCAATCAGAAAGTTACTCTACAAGCTTAACTTTTTTTAATTCATTTTTTATTTTTTTCCAGCTTTCTCGAGATACAGTTGACACATAAAATTGTGTAAGTATAGGCGCACAACACTTTGATATGATACATTTAAAAACTGCAAAATGATTACCATGATACCGGTACATATAGTGGTATAATACTACACCCCAATAATAGTAGCTAGCACCTCTATCCCATTACATACTTACCACTTCCTTTCTGTGGTGAGAACATTTAAAGATCTACTCTTTTAGCAACATTCAAGTATATGACAGTATTATTAGCTTATAATCACCATGTTGTACATTCAATCCCCAAACTTGTTAATCTTATAACTGGGAGTTTGTACCCTTTGAGCAATGTCTCATTAGCTCCGCCCCCTCCCAACACCTGGTAACCAGCATTCTTTTCTGTTTCTCTGAGTTTGTTCTTTTTAGATTCCATATATAAGTGATATCATACAGTATTTCAAACTTTCCTTTAAATGAGTTTAAATATATACTTGGTGACTATTAGGGTGTTTAAAAGTTGCTGCTGCTGTATGGTGTAGTGTACATATGCATATAAAGTCCTGTCTATCTCAGAGGTTAGGCTAAGAGATTTGGGGAGTGGGAAGCACACAAGAGGGATAGTGGTGGTTAGGAAGCTTTAATTTCCCTAAAATAGAAATGTATCAGATATAATAATAATAAAAAAAGGTCATTACTAAGAGTTTTATCATTTATCAGTTCAAGGAAGCCAGAATTTTCTGATCCAATCTTAACCCGAATGCAGTAGATGTCAACCTGGACATCTACACTTAGAGTTTTTTAAAAGCACAAACATCTGATTCCAGCCCAGGAGATTACAATTCAGATCGTCAATAGTATTGTGGATAGCCATTTCCTGATTTAGCTAATAAGCATGCAGTGTCATAAATGTTTGCCAGCTGTTTGACTATAAATAGTCACTTAGTTTTTAGTTCTGTACTATTTTAGATAACTGCGAATTTCCTGTAAAACCAGTACTGAAACTGGAGAACAGAATGTTAAAGCTGAAAATAAGATGTAAATGTTTAAAAACAGGAAAACGACTAAGTAAATGAAGGTCATTAACTCTACAGAACACTCAGAATATTATGCACCGTTGAAGTCACAAATGCAATGCAGTCACATGGGAAAAGTTTAATGCATGGAATAGAGCAAAAAACAAACTTTATCTGTGAGTACTAAATATATTCACGGATAAGGACAAAGACTTGAAGGAAACAAAAAATGATCAATTAGTAAATTAGGGTGCTGGGGCTCATTCTTTCAATTTTCTTAATTATATCATTTTTCCTTAATGATGTCACAAAAGGGAAAAATAATTCTAGAGACCGTTCGGTCCAATGCTCTCACTTTCGTAAATGAGAAAATGAAAGCCAGAGAGTGACTAGCAACCAGTGATTAGCAGCATGTAGACTATTAAGCCTTGAGACTTCCCTGGTGGCGCAGTGGTTAAGAATCCGCCTGCCAATGCAGGGGACACGGGTTTGAGCCCTGGTCTTGGAAGATCCCACATGCTGCGAGCAACTAAGACCGTGCGCCACAACTACTGAAGCCTGCATGTCTAGAGCCCGTGCTCCGCAACAAGAGAAGCCGCCACAATGAGAAGCCCGCGCACCGCAACGAAGAGTAGCCCCTGCTCTCCGCAACTAGAGAAAGCCCGCGTGCGACTAGCAATGAAGACCCAATGCAGCCAAAAATAAATGAATAAATAAATTAATTAATTAATTTTAAAAAAAATAAAGAAAGTCTCAATTTCACTTAGACCTAAGCAAACATGTATCATCAGGCTCAGATATTAAGATGCTTACAGAGGAACATTGTTCAAATCAGGAATGCTGGCATACCCAACTTATGATAGCCAGATATGGGGAAGACAGTGGGATCAAAACAGGGGTAATATAACAGCTCATTCACATATGTGGGGCACTCTATCAAGTACGTTTGCATGTATTGTTGATTTGCCCATCACCTCTGTTTTAAAGAGAAAGAAACTGAGAACAGATAGGTTTAGCAACTGGATTTGTTCTATGCATAATTAGTAATCGGCAAAGCCAGTTTTCAAAGCCATATTTCATTCTAGCATCCAGACTTATGTTCACACCCCCCCCCCCAAAATGGGACTGTCTGAGGTCTAATGATCACAGGTATAAAAACCACTAGTCCTGCCAGGAGCAGGAAGCAGGATAGGGAGCTTTCAGAACCATCCTTCTGACTGCAGAGTGGAGAACAGACTGCAGAGGACTCAAGACTCGAGACAAGGAGTCCACAAGGACAAGGACGCTGCTAAGGTAATCCAGGTAAAAAAGGGTAGCAACCTGAACAAAAGCAGTGACTGTGGGTTTGAAAGAAGTAGACAGGCTCAGAACAACTAAGGCTGTGGAACAGACCAGATGGAGGGGTGATGGAAAGGGAGGAATCAAGTTTACCACTCAGACATTTGCCTTTAGAAGTATTCATTTATCCATTTACATGAGCCAAAGAACAAAAACACTGTCTCTCACTCAATATGTTTGTTGTCTAGTGAGGAGATAGGGTGTGAGATGGGTGCTGAGCTCTCTGTGGACCTGTTAATTTTAAGACACTTGGAGAAGACCTAGGCAGAAGTCTAGAGGCCACAGCTGTAAATGAGACCTGGGATGAAGATATAAACTGGAACACTGGCAAATGATGAGGCCACACAAAGGGAGGATTTAAAATGAGGAGAGGGCTGAGGAGAGAAATCTTAGAGACATTAATCATCAACTAACACTCAGAGGAAGAGTGTGGCTGAGGAAAAGGAGACAGAAGGAAAACCAGGGATGAGCTTCTAAAATGGTCAAATGGGTTTGATTGGAAAACTTAAGAGGTATTAATAAATAAATAATAAATCAATGCAACTCAATTTAAAAAACTTTACTGGGATAAAATTTGGGGTAAATGTTTCTTAATCATCAGACTTTTGAGAAATAACATCACCTCCATTTAATTTGTGTAAGAGTAAGGGGAGAAGATGCTCAAAGGAAAAAAAAAAGCCTCTTGTGAAAAACTTTTCAGATTAAAACAAATTTTATCCAATATGCATCACAAGCAAAAGCCCTCTATTTGGCCTGCGGTTCTGAGAATTTTAGCACCTGGAGGCCAAAAAGGTAAATTTTCATAAATAAAACGGGATGTTTTCCACATGTAGAGTTTGGGCACAACACACAAACACAAAAATCCCTCTTTTTCTGCAACTTTCATTTCTCGAACTACCTTGATAGCTTTAATTCTTAATGTCTTTCAATATATTCAGCTTTTCACTTCAAGAAATGGTAATAAACATTTGGTTTTATCAGTGAATGTCTTTCAACAAGTCAGGCTAAAGAAATCCAATAGAACTACTTTGTACTTTAGTTTTTAATAATGTCTCAAATAATTTATATGTATATACTATTTCAGTGGTTTAAATCTGAAAGGTAAAAATAAATCGACTAAAGAGAATGTTAAGTACTTACTGCAAAAATATTTTGGACTGTTTTCAGTACATTTACTAGCTGTTAAGTATCCATACTGAAAACTAACACTATGTTAAACCACAATCATAACTAAGACTGGTAGATTGTACCCATGTTGATGTCCTAGCGTGACACTACACTGTAAGTAGCTTTATAAGACGTTACCAATGAGAAACTGAGTAAAGGGTATGTAGGATCTCTCCATATTATCTCTTACAAATGCATGTGAATCCACAATTATCTTAAAATTAAAAGTTTTGTTAAAAATTGTTTAAAAAAATCAGAATCTATTTTGGTTATTTCAACTACTAATTGCAGGCAAAATTTTTCATTCTTCCTTTCTAGAAATGTTTTATTTTTCTAAAACAGTACTATATAATCAACTTGAATGTAAATTTACATAAACTATCAAGTTATTATATCAACAAGTTGAAAAATGGGAAAAGTTCACCACCAAAAGAACTACAGTTAATCTCATGGGTCCCTCTAAGATACTGATTATAGAAACAATCTCAATGTTGAGTTAAACTTAAGTTAGATGCTAAGTAAATGGCAAACACAACCATATCTCCATCTTTGCTGAATTATTCTGAAATAAGAATTAAAAATAACCACACAAATTAAATTTTCACCAATTCAATAGATTGGAATCCAATAAGGTTTTGTGGATACAAAACATAACTTCAGTTGTCCTAACTTCAGTTATGACAACAAAATAAACCATCTGCCCTAAGAATGACTAAATAGCTAAAAAATATACAATAAAAATTTGCATGTTCATAACATTAGGAAAAATCAAAATTAAGAAAGACAACTATCCTAGTTAAAGTAGCTCAGTGTTTGTTCATAGCTGATGACCAGTGGCTTGTCAACTAATACAGCTTTAAATGAATCCCATTTTGGAAATACTCCTCCTCCCCATGTAAAAATCCTAATCCTCAATTACCTATATCCATTTTCCATTCAATCAGCATTTACTATGTACAGGACCCAGCACTAGATGCTAGGTGAGTCACTAAGATATTACTGCTCTCAACATTCATTCTCCAGTAAGGGAGGCTGAATACATGAAAAGGAATAAAAGAAATTCTATAACATAAGGCAGAATAAAATCAGGCCAAATTGAGATATAAGTACTATGCATTATAATGGACAGTTCAGAAAAAGGAGAAACATTCTAACAGGGAAAAGAGGGAGACTGAAATACAATTTCTCCCAAGAAGGGGCATTTATGTAGTTCTGAAAAATGAGAAGGATTAACAGATGAAGGGGAGATGAGAAAGATGCGTGGGGTGAGGAAGCATGAACGAAGGCTGAGGTAGGAAAGGACAGGACAGGGTTTGTGCCTGTAGATCACGTGCACGTGGGCACAGCCAGCGGGGGGCGGGGGGGGAGGGGGAGGGCAGGAAGGGTGGGGCAGGAAGGGTGGGGGAGTATGGGTGGGGAAGGCAGAGGCAGGCTGGGGACTGAGTGCCATCCTAGCAGGGAGTTCAGATTTTACTCTCCACTGAAATACTAAAGGTTCAAGAGTTTTAAGAGAATTGCTCTGGCAGTGGTGACATAGGCAGACATTAAAGATAAGAAATAGACCCAAGAACATCCCTGCAATGTCCAAATAAACCATCCAGACTAGAGATGAAGATCCAAACCAGGGAAACACTATGGCCACACCCAGCCTCTTCTCTCTGAAAACAGTGGGCCTTTTCCCAAAGTAATTTTTCATTTGTACCAATGGTCCCGTGGCCCCCTTCTCTCCAGGATCGTCCTTTTCTCTCTGTTTAATCTCTTCCCATTGATTTGTAATTCACTGACTCTTTGCCCGAGGCCTATAGAGAAGTGAAAACCTCTCTATTACTTCAAAAAAGAAAAACATGTTCAACTTACTTCTGCCTCAAGCTACCATCCCCACAGTTGTCTCCCTTACCATCAACCTTGCTTAGAAGAATTAGCTACAGCACACTGTTTCCACAGCAACACTGAACAAGTCCTCAAGGTCTTCCATGTTTTTGTGCCCCATCCTTCAACGGAAACCAGCTGTGCTCTCACAGGACCCCAGGCTGGCCCTTTGCAGTAACAGACGCACACAGCCCAGGAGAAGTCAAGACAATTCTCACTACACTTTGCAACAGCTATTCTACGCTCGGTCCTGGATACTTCATTTTAAGATGGGCGCCAAAAAACTGACAGGAGGAAAATAAACAGTGCATTAAGAAGAATGGCTCAAAGGGAGGACTTTATAACTTGGTAAGATGAACACTTATAAAAAGATGGCATGGAGGAGAATAGCCACAACTCAACTATTTAAGAGACCATGAATGTGGAAGGGAGCTCCAGCAGGTAGAAGCAAGATCGGTGGGTTGAAATTACTTGGGAGAATAAAAGGCAGAATTCAGTGCAATACAAGGAAGTACTTTTAAGTAGTCATTGTAAGAAAAGTCACCTGAAAATGTACAGAAATGAAAATATACAGAAACTTGAGGACTACATGCCAGAACTGTCCAAAGCCTGATACCTAGTATATGGTCCATGGATGGGAAATCAGCATCACCTGGGATCTTGTTAGAAATGCAGACTCTCAGGCCCCATCCCAGACACTGAATCAGAATCTGCATTTATCAAGATTCCCTAGAGATTCCTTTGACATCGAAGTTTGAGAAACACTGGTTTAAGGGAGTCTTGAAACTAGATGTGAGAGGGAATGTATTCGGTCTTATATTCATTTACGGAAAGCAAAACTCACCAACTATTCCAGAGATCTCAAGGTTGTTTCATTCGATTTCTGCCTACTAGGTCAAAATACTGTTTCTAGGTTTCAGAGTCTGACCTCTCATGAGTTATTTTTTAATACTTTAAACAGTGCTCAGCCAAAGCTTATTCAAACACTTCAAATGTTAACTTATTTTATCAACTTAAAGATTTTGTTTAAAACTGAATTAAGGCAGCTTGTAGTGGTACATTTACAACATAGCATCAAATAAATTGCTAAAAGGAAAAATGGTGCAGAAGGAAAATAAGGGTAGGAAAGCGAGATGGATTTCTATGGCTGGTATTTAAAATGCATTATCATGACTCCTAATCACTTGCTAACTGAGGGTTAGATTTGGTTCCAAGTTTTTAAGCAGCCAACTCAAATAGGGTGTGATATCTTCTTGCATGTGCATTTAGAATGCCATGAATAATGTCTGTAGGCATGCATAAAATAGGCCCCATTAAATATATTCAAAATGTTGAATAGAAGATTCGTGCTTTATATTGAATTAATTGTAAGATTTTCTATTGTACATTTTAGAATATTCCAATGAATCACACTTACCAATATAATTTCATTTTCTTTTCTAGACAGCCTGAACAGCAGAGTAACTCAATGTCGATAACTGGTAAAAATTTAAAGACAATCTCATCACAAATAAAATTTAAGAAAGGGAAAAAGAAATAAAACTTACCAAATAGATTTCCTAAACTTGCATCCATTTTTATTTCAAATACTTGAGAAATAACATAGAATGTCAGTAAAAATACTGCCACAGCTACCACCAACTTTGCAGCACCTAGATAAAGGGCAGAAATAATTCAACATGAGCTTATGAGCCCACCGAATTTTTAGTTATGCATTTCCATGAAAAACGTAAGTGTATTTAAAAAATTCTTAAGACTAACAAATATCTACTTCTTATCTACTGGATCTTAATTTTACTTGAGTTACAACAAAAACTGTTCCAACAATCTATTTTGATTGATTTTTCTGATCAAACAATTATTAGATTGTCTAGCAACCTAGACACAGGACTGCCTGAGTCATCTGCTTAGTTTTCTCATGGAAAAAAAATGACCTGCTATCAACTTCTGGCTGACTACACAAAAGTATCAAGGCCAATGGAACACCGCCACCAAGTACGTGGGATGACACATTCTCAATCCTTTTCAATGATAAAGGGCAATACAAGACAGAGAGGATACAAAAACGCTGAACCTTCCAGAGATACTAAGGCAACAGACCAGGATGTCCACTCGGCAATGAGTTCTCAAGTGAAATGTAACAGGCTTACTGTCCTCTCCAACCCACACATCTCTTGAAGCACACAAGTGCTCCTGGTATGGTGAACAACGAAATATCTCCCCTCATACTTAACACCAAAGTTTAAGTCACGGCTTCCCCACTCCTGGAGGACTGAATTCGGCACCTGTCACATTTAACACGGTTACATGGTAAGCTCTGTGAACAGACTCTTAGTCTTCCGTACCTTTATATGTTTAATTATTTCTGAGTGCCTTACAAATAATTAGCACTGCTACTAACTAATTAACTGCTTAATGTGAATCATCACTTGTCTTTCTTCTCCACAGCTAAGCAAATCTAGGAAAGAAAAAGTACAAGATATGAAAGGACATGAAAAATGACAGGAAAGAAGCATCATCTTCTTACTCTTAGAATTTCAGAGCCATCTCATTAGGCTATTCAGAAACAATATTAATATTTGCCTATATAATCTCCATTCCCCTCTCTCACCAAAAGTTTAATTTATATTGATCTAAAAGATCAGCAGTCATTTCACTATCCTTACTTAAGGAAACAAAAGCCCACAAGTGAGGCAACTGCCCAAGATTACAGATATCTTAGCGGCAGCACAAGGACAGGAATCCAGGGATCCTGACAGAGCCCAGTGCTTTGTAAGGTTCTCTACTACCATCAAATTACCACATTCTTCAGGGAAACTACCAAAACTCAACTCACCGGATAAGGAAGAGTAAAAAAGAACTGTGTTCATACTAACTTCATAAATGTAGAGACTGGGACTGTATCCTTACAGGGACGGGAAATGAATGAACTGATGATGCTCAGAAGGGCTGACGATGCTGAGAAGCAGGAGATTCTCAGAGCTACTCATTTTTATTTAGAAATGCTCTCTAAATACAGAAATGAGATGGCAAGGAGGAAGCCTAACTACTAAACCAATCAATTCCCATCCCCCTCCTGTTTTCTTCCTTCTCCCCCTTCCAAAACTGCTTCCTGTTTTCATGAAAAAGACTCTGACAAGTACAGGTTTCTGGTAACTGACTATACTGCTGAACTGAATGAATAAGCATTTTCAGAACTCTAATGGAAAACTGATGAATTCATAAAAGTGCTAACAAAAGATCAAGATAAAAAAATATTAATTACATGGGACTGAGTGAACTGATGAGGATGATTATAATTTTTGTGACTTTCTGTTTGAATAAAAAGAGTGACTACAAGTCATCTACATTTTCAGCACGTAAGCGAGTAAAATTCCATTAGGCTTTGAACTCTTCCCCCACAGGATCTAGTAGAGTGCCTTGTATTGATACACAGTAACACTCTAAACAAGTGTTTGCCAAAGGTTAACAGGTGGCATATTCCTTCTGGATCATTTAAGACCAAGGGCTGGAAGATTATACGTCACATGACAGTCTTAACATCTCATTTTCTAGCAATCATGGGCGTGTGCAAATAATCTTTCCCTGTCCCTTAAAGCAGATGTACCAAACCTTCATTGTTCAAGACTGAAATATTATAGGGATTAAGACACCAAGTTTATAATACACAAAAGTTCTGGATTAAATTCAATACCAAGCTAAACCTAAGCCTACACTAAACAATATACATCATATTTACATATACATACATGTATATAAAATATACACACACCATTTAGTGAGTGCCTACTACAGATCTAAGTGCCTCATTAGCACAACTTCAGTTGCACAGCCTTTCAAGATACTCTTTTCATTTTACAAATAAGGAAAACAAGGTCAAAAATTTAGATCACTTGCCTAAGGTCACATAACTAGTTAGTGGCAGAATTTAGTTTTAAACCAAGACCTATTGAAGAATAAGAAACCATCAAAGGAAGTAGGAGGAAACAAAAGCTCTAAGAGACAGAGAATTTAGAGGCGGAGAAACTAACTGGTGATAGAACAAGCAGAAGGTCCCTGAGAGGGGCAGGCGGGTGAAGACCAGCAGAGCCTCCATAACGGTAGAGTTCTGGACCTCCTGTTGCAGAGGGGCTCCTCCAGAGCTGTCACCATCCACTTCTGGACTGGGAGGGGCTTACCCACAGCACATCACAGTTCCCATTCCACCCATGAGATTCCCTCCTACTTCCAGCCATGGACTGTACTAATCTGAGTGTGTCCCTATTTTTCACAAACCAAAAAGCATAAACTTGAGATATTAATGCATCACTGTAAGAATAATGGCTATAGGATATTTCAAAGCAACCAGGATTTTTTTTAATTAGAAGAGATTAGTCTACAATCAATAAACTAATAGCTAATCTTCCTTACTCCTTCATTAAAGGTAGTCCCCTTGAGACCTATACTAAGAACAGTGTCAAATATAACATCAGCACTCAGTAAATAATTACTCATCAATTAACCTTGGGATTAATAGTCAAAATCAGAGAAATGGATTAGATGACAAAGTTAATTTCAACTAGAATGAATGTAGAATTACATGAGAAAGAGAAACTTGCTTTATTTCAAATCACCATGCTTAAATAAGTAACATACTTTTAGAACCATACCTTTAGAGACACTCCCATAAGAATATTTTTTTTCCTGGTGAGATGATAATTAAAAGAATGACTATCTTGATTTTGAGAAATGACAAGCTGTCACCTATGATGGACACACACTACTTAGCAGAAATTTCTATGTAAAGTGTGCATTTCTTCTACACAGCGGCTGTGCTACAGGGGCAGGGTGGAGGGATCACACTTGTTTTCACTATAGTTAGGAAGAGGTCTCAGCCTCTCCCGTTATTTATGGATCTGTCTTTTGATAAAGGTAGCTACCTTAATACTATGAACACCAAATGGTATTTTTAAATTTCCTCAGTATGCTGCCTAAGGAACAGATGTCCTTACACATAACCTCACTTATGCAGGCTAAACCTGACCTAGCAAATACAACAGTCATTTACGCAAAACACATTTTTCTGAATTCTTCACGTACACTAGTTTCAATTTATGTACACACATAGGAAAGATTTAAGCTTTTAAAGTTCACAATTCATTTTTCTCAACAAGCTACAACTTAGCAAAAATAAAAATCAGCCTCCCTAAGTTGTCAAAATCGTTCTTTATATGAACATTATACATATATATTTATATTTTTATATTAGGCAAACAAGCTTAATGTATAAGGACGTAAACATTAAAAACCATAACTTAAAATATTTAGCATAAATAATTTCAACAGAAGTGTCCCCAAAAAACTTATGTAGAACCCACTAAACGTCCAATTTATGATTTGCCAACTACCTAAAAAAGTAAAAAGGCTAAATAATGATTTAGTTTGTTATATTCAGTCACACTCAACATAGAAAATGATTATTTACCCTCTCATTCAGTCATTACTAAACAAACAGGTTATACAAAAAGCAAAATTATTTCTACTGAATTAAGTATCTTACCTGCTACCCTCATGTTTGGTTTTTCAGTCTATGGCACTTTTCATTAAATAAGCTCCTAAAATCAAAAGAAAAGGCAAACATCATTACGTCTAGAATGAGCATTCCTCCCTAGATTGAGTTTGATTTGGAGTGTATATATTAAACTAATTAAGTAAATGTCATGACATTTCTAGGTATTCTACCAATATTAACATTTAATGAAAAAGCTCTTAGCACTGGGCCTGTCTCCTTCCACTGGGCCATGAAAGCTCCGGAGAGGAGGTTGTGCCTAAAACTGCTCTATCTCCCTCTCCCTAACTGAAGGATGGAGGGAAAACTTGTTATCAAGCATGGACAGAATGATGCCTTACTGTTCTCAGTGATTATGCATCTGTAACAAACTTTTGATATTTAGTTCCAAACCAGCAGTTTTCAGCTGAGGTCCAAAGAGGTTAAGCTGCTTATCTAGTCAGGGAACAAATTACCTGCAGAAATGGGGTGAGGATTTAGGTCTGCTGGCTCCTGCTCTAGGGCTCACTCCTATGACACAATTCAGGTGTCACTATGATAAGCACTTACAGGAAAGGCACCTTATCTTAATACCAGGGGTCCTCTTCCTCTTCATGTTTTCAATTTAAGTTTGTGAAAGAACATACTCAGACCTATAGAACTGCAATTTAAAATATTCCAGCAATCATCATTATTGACAGTGTATGTTATACATCAAATGAAGAAACTGTAATCTGATATTATTCTAATAATAACAAGAAGTAGATACTGGAAAAAAAAATCTGCATATATGTTTGTCTGCTCCCCCCTAAGAAATAACTCAAGATAGGTGAAATTTTAAAAAGAAAATGGGAAAGCAAGTATACGAGTTTGATAGGAAATTCATGCTTAAGTTCAGCTAGACAGCTCCCACAGTCTACTCAATCTACTGTACAGGAAAGATATTCAAAAGAAAATTTCGATTAATGAATTGCATCAATCAAGAATATATATTTCTTTATTTTAGACTGCATTTTAGTACTGATGTTTCAATGTTGATGTCTGATCTAGTAATGCACAGAATGATTCAAATAGAAACAATGGCAGACTCCTGAAGGACACTGAAAGGGAGTGAGACATCCAGTTTTCTTATTCACCAAAAAGGAATTATCGGGGGTGGAGGTGGTGAGCATCTAAAAGGACCAATGTTCTTACGGGAACTCCCTTCCTTCTGCTCAATCTACCCTGAAGAAAATATCAACATTTATATTTATACTAGTACTGAACTGAGCATTATTGATTTCCTTTGTTAGTTATCTGAACACCTTCCACATAATAGGAAAAGTCACTGTTACTTAGCCACAGGCCAGGAAAACGCTACAAGGAAACAAGAGATACTGAAGTATCCACAAGTTACCACATAAAAGCAGAAAAAAAAAAAAAAATCTTGGCTTCTCAAATGAAAACCCTAACGAGCTATAAATCCTCTTTTGACTTCCAGCAAGATTGAATATTATGTTCAAAACACACATATACGCCTTTCCTCCCAGCTAACACTCCAAAATAACATCACTCTTATGTGAACGTGGCCTGCGATAATTTTGGGGGGGAGAGTGATAAGCAGTTGAGCAGACACCTGATGTTCTATTTCACTGTTTCCATTACCTGCCGAGGAGGTCACACCTGTACAATTACAATCACTGCCTCATGTACCTACCCCTTGTTTGGACTGCCTAACCAGCCTGCTTCTAAACTTAACACTAGTAAGACCACAATACAAGCAACTACAATGGTCTAGCCAAATTCATGTTTTCCATTAAATTTCTCAGAGAATAACATTTAATAAAATCTCTAAATTAAAATCTCATCAAAGCTCAGCCATGACACATTTTTAATTAGTTTGCTTAAGAAGCAAATTAATGATTCAAGAGTGTAAATCGGCATAAGGAAAGAGTATTGAATATATTTGAGAGCAAATCAAGGAGCATCTGTTTACAATATGCTAATTCTAAATCATCCCTAACTTGTCTTCTTAGGAGGACATTAAAAACAAAGAAAATCTTTACATAGAATCATCTTGGGGGGCAGGGGGGAAGTAAACCACCTTAATGGAGTCTGGTATATACCTCAAACTGAACCTCCAACAACCAAGGGGAGGTAGAAAAGGTCCAGAGAAAATGAACACAGCAATAAAAGGAGGAAAAACGTCTCTGCTAAAAATTCAGAGCCCTTTAATTCAGAGGCAACAGGTGAAAATTTTCTAACTGTTCTTATATATTAATTAAAAAGTAGAGATATAGAAATTAGAGCCATTTCCAAAATAAGAATATGGGTGGTAGGAGGAAAGTGTTTTTAAGACAGATTAAAAAACAAACAAACAAAAACCCAATAGCACATTTGTGAAATACATTTGTAAAATACATTTTGCCCCCCAAAAGTGTAGTCTAGGTCAAAACAGTAAGTTTCAGTGTTTTATAGATCAATGACTGAGCCAGATCAGGTTGTAACATGTAAAGTGCACAATCATCAGAGCCCACTGCAAGCAGGGCCATCATGCTGCCCTGAGCAAGGAAGCACCCTTCTGGATAAACGCTGATTTAGTGAGTAACCTGGATTGAAAGAGAGAACCTGAATTAGGGTCTCAGATCAACACCGCATTTCTTCGAATTTCTTATAATTTAAACATTTCCTTTAGCCCAACTGTCTACGTTGGTCTAATTCATTAAGTTTTCTTAAATTCAGGCCTGAATAAACAGGCATTGTCCTAGAATCAACCAACTTCAGGACAACAGATAAAAACACAGGTCAAGTGACACTTTCATTCTTTCCTTGAGAAGTGGACCAGAGCTACATCAGGTAAATCAGAAGGGCCCATTCTATATCGACAAAACAAGCCATAAAAACAATTATTCACCAGGAAGGGAAGGTCTTGCCATTTAACAAAAACTAGGAAATAATGCAAACAGCAGAGTAAGTCACACACATTCTTATTTTATGTAATCTTCCCATCAGCCCTATGGCATTATAGATGAGGTCAAGGGATTTGTCCACGGTCATGTGAAGGGAAAGAAGCTGATACTATAAACAATTCCACTTCCCTTCCACTTCCCAGCAGCTCCCTGCCATGCTCTGAGAAGCTTCCTGACAAAATTCCATGTCAATCAATTTGGCTTTTGCAAACTGCTCTGAGAATTGCTAATCCCTGCTGCCAACTAGCCACTCTAGGGCTCTGATGGGTTGTCAAAATGACTAAGCACGTGTGTTAGAACACTCGTCCGTCCCCACTGTGGGTAGGGGGCGTGGAACCCAAAGCCTGTGTCCTGCTCTCATCCTGCTGAGCCGGGAAGGGAGCAGAGATGCCTGCCCGGGCTCCCCCCACCTCCCCCAGGGCCCTGGCTGAGGCCCCATCCTGTCCGCAGAGCCCAAGAGAAGGCCCACCCCGTTGACGCAGCCTGACGGGAACTGGGCGAGGCCTGTGCAGCCCGGGCTCCCTCCCACCTGTGTGTCTGTACTTGGCGGCGGTCTCCTGCCTTTTTCCTCCTCATCCCACCTCCTCAGACACCTGGCTTAAGGGCCCGGACTCTCTCCTGCAAATAATGAGGAAACATGGTGTCCCAGCCAAAGGGTTCCCCCTCCCACCTCCTCGGGGTAGGAGGTTAAAGAGGGTTCAATACCAAATGCCCTGCCCCAGAAGAGAAATAGTCGTTGAGTTTGGGGTCAGAAGCAAGGGTGGGAGAGGCAGCCCCACAGGGTGAGTGTGCCATGATCAGGTCGGTTTGGTTTGTCTTTGTGTCTTTTTGCTTTGTTTTGTTTTGTTTTAAACAATCATTAGTGAGATTTTTCTTCAGCCACCAGTGTTGGCCTTGAAGCAGAGGGCTGCAGCCCTTAGTGTTTGTAAAATAAGAAAGAATATACAGCGTGGCCATGGTTGGGTTTTTTTTCCCCTCCTTTGAGAATTTTCTTTTGTAAAAGCAAATTTAAATACTTTTTTAATACTGAAATTAAAATGAACTTAAAATGGATGAAACAGAAGCTGGAACCCTCCTCTTGGACTATGCAGCCTATGAACCTCATGGGACTATGAATTCACCCGAAATTTTCATTTGCCAACAGGCCGAGCTTTGAATGAAAAACTGTTCTCTAACCAGGATTGTAAAAATAGTGTAAACACTATTTCAGAGTTGAAAGTTGATGGTGCAAATATGTATATAACGTACTGTATTTTTACAATGATCGTCACATGACTCTACTCTGCCCCCTTTTTGTACTCCATATCTGTCTTCCAGAAACGTCACCTGCCTTTCCTCCTGTGGTCTCTTAATCCAATAACTGTATTACTGCCTTTAAAGGATGCAGTTATTTTAAAAACAAAAAAAAAAGAACACTCATCCAACACAGAAAGGACAAAGGAAAATGAAGTATACAGACACACTCACTGATACATTTAATATTAACAAACAACGACTACTTAATTAAGCCAGAAGAAAATACTACCAATTATACTCCAAAAATATAAAAAAACTATCACTCCATTCAATCCACTTTTAACTCAGTGCTGGCCAAACGGCAATGTAAGGAAACAAAATTTGCAACCCAAAGTGTCTCTGTGGTGTGTTAATTATTTTGAGATGGAAACAGTCAAGGCCCAAAAGACTCTTTGACCTTCCCCCTTAGCTGCCTGAAGAATTTATAGAGGGTCTATAACAGGAAGGGAACTATCACCACAGATAACTGTAGTATGAACTACATGTGTAGATAGGGAGGAACCTAGCAAAATCTGTTTGTTAGAATTCCTCTAGGTGTCCCATTGCCACTGCAAGACCCAGCAAACATTTACCAAACATCTGCTTTTCCATCTCCACGTGAATTGCCTTCCTCCCCTTTGAAGTCCCAAAGCACTACCCGCTGCTACATCCCTCCTCTTTAGTCTTTAGCAGAAGACAGTATTTAAGGACTCAGTTTTCCTGGGTCTCCCCCATGTACACATGTTATTGAACTACTGATTTTCTGCTAACATGTTTCATGTTAATTTAATTTTTAGACCAGGCAGAGGAACCTAGAAGGGTAGAAGAAAATGTTTCCTCCTGG